TCAAGCTCCCACTTCCACTCAAAGGCTCCAAGCCTACCAGTTGAACGCTCTCGAACGTACGTACCTCACCAGTCATCATCATGCCAACGTGCCTCCTCCCCCTCTTCCTCCTCCTCGCCTTGTGGCCGCCGACGGCGAGGGTTGACGCTACCTCCACGGTGAGCCCGCTGAATCTAATTTGCAACCAGACCGCCGGCACGTACACGGCAAGCAGCAGCTACGGGTACAACCTGCGGAATCTCGGAGCGGCCCTCGCCACCCGTGCCGGTGCGTCAGGCTTCGCCAAGGGCAGCTCCGGGGAGGCGCCGGACAAGGTCTACGGCGAAGTGCTCTGCCGCGGCGACTACACCGGCGCCAAGTGCACCGACGGCCTCACAGCCGCCTTCCATGACGTGGACGGGCTCTGCCGGACCCGGAACGCCGCCGTCTACTACGACCAGTACATGCTCCGCTTCACTGACGACGAGCAGTCCCTCTCGAGCGTCAGCAACGAGCCGGAATGGTCCGGGTATAATATGAACTCAGTCAAGGGCACTGAGGCGGCGGAGATGTTGCTGGAGAGGGTAGTGAAGCTGATGAACAGCATGGCCGGCCTGGCCACCTCCGGCAGCCCCAGGTCGACCATCCTGCTGTATGCGACCGGCGAGGCAGGGTTCGGCGAGCAGGGCGTGAGCACGGTGTATGGTATGGTGCAGTGCAAGTTGGACCTCACAGGGCCACAGTGCAAGAGCTGCCTTGACGGCATCATCGGGCAGATGAGGAAGCTGTTCAGCAACGACAGCAGCCAGGGCCAGCCCTCTTCATTCCTCATCGGGGGCAGGCTCATTGGAGTTCGGTGTAATCTGCGATACGAGAAGGAACTCTTCTTCGAGGAGACAAACGACACTATCAAGATCGACATGCCGAAAAGTACGTGCTGCTTCACTGCTTACAATTTGCATTTGCATTATTAATTTTGAAGGAACACTTATACTCCCTTGGTCCAGAATTACTTGTCTTATATTTGTCTAGATACGAAGATAATACATTGGTACCTTAAAATATGAAGTTTATAGATATGCAGATAAATCTGGAGAAAACCATACGCACAGTTGAACATAATTTTCTAATCCAAGCAAAAGGGAAACAAATGTTGTTCCAAAGTCCCTAAAATGTACTCCCTTCATCCCATGTTAATTGTCGTTTAAACAGATATATCTAAATATATTTTAGTGCTAAATGCATCTGTTGGAGCGACAATTAATATGGGACAAAGGGAGTACTACTTATTTGCCGTCTTTTTTCATATTGACTTTTCTCTCTCTTTTCCATACATTTATGCAAGATGGAATGAGCGGGGTGCTTAAGATTGTCATATTTGGAGTTCCTCTTCTAGTTTTGCTCATCTTAGGATTGCTCCTAAGGCCATGTATTGTGAAGAAAGTCAGAGGTATATTGTTGTTGTGTTATTTTGCATCGACTTATTCTTCACTTTCTTTCACATGAATATGTAACTTACCTGCCCATTCTTGGGTAGAATTATTATTGCATAGGGATCTAGTCATCCTTGAAAAGGAAATTGTAAGTGAAAGCGACTCGAGGTTTTCACTATTCAGATATTCGAAGATAAGAAGTGCTACTGATAACTTTTCAAAAGAGAATAAACTTGGAGAAGGTGGATTTGGTCATGTTTACAAGGTAATGGCATTTACTTGAATCAACATTTGTGAATGTTAGCCTTACTGAGACAAAATAACACTCCTTTTAGTTTTTGTAATCTTAAATTTCAATTCTATTTGCGCTTGTTTATTTTTTAATTAATTCAAAGATTTTAAAAAAATCATATGTGACTTCATTTCTTATATCTAATAGAGATTTATTTTGTCCCCTCGAAGAATCAATGACACATGCACATGAAAGGACACTTTTTTAAATAGAAATCGTCTGAATATAGCATCGTGAACAAGCATATTGATTGCCATGCATAATTCTTACATTTACCATATTCTCAAGATGAGCAGTTTTAGCATTCTTACCCCCTCTTTTCACATGTAATAGATCTGAGCCGTTGATCTCATTAGTAGTGGTCTGATTAACTCTTATCTTCTTCCCTCACATGTCAAAAAAAGGGTAAGAGGGAGCATGTTAAAATTTGCCTCTCAAGATAGCATTAGTCATCTATTGATCTCTCATGTAAAAATACATGTACACTTCACTAGGGTCGGTTGACTCAGGATCAGGACATAGCGGTCAAACGACTTTCTCCGAATTCAGTTCAAGGATTCCGTGAGTTCATGAACGAAATCAAACTCATAGCCAGCCTCCAGCACAAGAATCTGGTCAGGCTTCTTGGATGCTGCATCAAAGGCAAGGAGAGGATACTTGTATATGAATTTTTGCCAAGTGATAGCTTGGAAGAGTTCATTTTTGGTACGTTCACTTTTCCCTAGGAAAAACAAAAGATAACGCCATTCTACTTTCACGCAAAAATAACAAAAGGCAGAAATATATTCTATTTCTTTATTCTAGTGAAAAAAACTGTATCTCTGTGTTCACATTTAAAATTGTAATTCACTAGGGGCAGGAGCAAAGCAGAGCTGGCCCGTGCGTCGCCACATAATTGAAGGAATAACAGAAGGCCTTCTCTACATGCATGACTACGCGTATGAGTGCATAGTCCACAGAGACTTGAAACCAAGCAACATCCTATTAGATCATGAAATGAATCCAAAAATTTCTGACTTTGGGATCGCAAGGATATGCCTCTCCAATGTGACGGAATCAAATACAACGACAGCTATGGGAACATTGTAAGGTTTTCATTTTTATGAGCTTCACATGTTAGGTCAGACTTATATTTTGTTAGTAAGTGAATCTTACTGAAGATAATTAAGGGAATATTTATTTAGCTAGCTAAGTACCTTGTAAGTTGAGAATAACTTGAGTTCAAATGATTCATCAAAATTACATGACGTATATTTAAAGGAGATGGTGTTAATATTTTTGAGCGTATGCAATACATAGATATATACTGTCGCACTGTATAGGTCATGGAGATGGAAGCATAATATTATTTGTGTATATGCATTCAAAACTTATTACATAAACTAATAGGTTGACTCATGAATCTCTGCACACCTATGACTTGTATTAGTGTTGGCTTATTCAAGGCATTGTCATACTTAAGTCAACTAAATCTACAACTTCTCCCCCCTTCCGTGATCTTCTTGCAAATCTGCAATGATAAGAATACTGATGGGGTTGTCAAATACAAAAGAGAAAAAGTTCAAACAGCAATGGAACTGATTTGACCAAATGAGCGCATGTCACACCTATCGTCTTTCCATGATATTTCTTTTGCTGTGAACCATGATCATTTATAATAACCTTGCTGGCATATATTGCTTTATTACAGTGGATACATCGCACCGGAATACTGCTCCCAGAGTGTGTACTCAACAAGGTCAGATGTTTTCAGCTTCGGCATCCTAGTTCTCGAGATCATAAGTGGGAAGAGGGCCATCGGTTCCTACCAATTATCTGAAAGATCATACGAACTCAGGAAATATGTGAGTAAAATAAAACATTTCAAAAACAAAGAATCCACACATTATATTGCTTCAGATGTCCCTCTACAAAGCCAGCAATTATTATGTGCGATCTGGTTCAATCTCTATATATAATCCCTATACCTAGTTAACTATCACCTCCTTTTGTCACGAAAAAGAACTACTCATCTCTTTGAACTTTTTTCAAAAAAAAATGACCTGTACATATGATTGCAAGACATACTTCTTGAACGCACAACTAATATGTTTGGCTAATAGACCTTGCGACTATGAAGAAGGTCACTAGTTTTAACGCATACTCTGTTTGCATAATAGGCATGGCAACTGTGGAGAGAGCAGAGGTGCGACGAGCTTGTGGATGATTCGCTAGGCGAGGAGTACCCTGAAATGGACGTTATGAGGTGCATCCAGATCGCGCTCTTGTGCATCCAAGATGTCGCGGAGGACAGGCCTACCATGCACGACGTCATGACGATGCTGGGCAACGGAAACAAGAGGCTGCTCCTGCCTGTGCAGCCCGGTTCTTGCAGTATGCACATCTTCACCGATGCTGAAATAGAGGTGTGAGCCTGGAGCAAACTAAGGCTTGTTAAGTAGACATCGGTGATGTTTGTTGTCTGTTGGAGAGAAGCAATGTGCAGATGGTAAAGGAACTGTTGGTGTGCATTTTTGTTGTATATAAATGACTTTTTTCTTACTTCTCGTTGTTTTCCATTACCTTTTTGACACACGTGTCTTTGCGTTGTGTAGGAATGGTCCTTCCTCACTTCTCTTAGTCTTTTTGCTTGCCTTCTTGGCACAATTGCTTTTTTGCTTGCCTGGCTGGTCCAAAGTCACGATATTTTCGTTATAGAGTTATTTTTCATGGTCCAAAATAAGTTTGAGATAAAAATTGGAGCCACATGTAGCTACCACATGGAGCCACATTTCCGGTTTTTAAAATATATGAATATTTCTTTTGATACAAGACATTAACACTTTTCTTATATATAAGAATGTAAATAGATATGGTCGGATAAGATCATGATTTTTCAATACCATTTAACATTTTTATTTGCCAAATTCAAAGCGGAGCGAATAATGACTGGATGTGGATTATATCGATTTACGAATTCGTAGTGGGTCCGGACCAGGAGTGAACAAGATATATCGGATACGTACAAGCAAATAGACATAATTTCATTTCTAACATCAGAGTGGATTTTTAGATCCCGGGTGCCTAGGCGCCCCTTTATCTATACAATTCATTCAGAAAATGGCGCATCGAGATTTGTGCGACTCACTGTAACCAAGGAAACCATTAGTAGTTTGGTACCTCGTTAAGCGCAGGAGTTGACATGTCGACCCCGTTGTGAAAATACCTCTTAAAAAGCTATCAAAAAGGCTTTGCATCCGATAGCTCCCTCTACTCACTTTTGCATGCTGCGCACTCTCACCCCTCTTCTTTCGTTTCAACACCTAGCGTCTCACAGGTGAGGAACGACAGTGAGCCAGCGGTGAGACAGGTGACCCAGCTTTAGGGTGTGTTTGCTTGGGCTGCAACTTCTCCGGCTACAGCTGGAACGGCTCCGGCTGGAAGGAGCGGCTGTAGCTGCTAGCTGTGGCTGAAAGGTTGGAGTTGAGGTGTAGTCGTTTGGTAGTCATGTTGTAGCAGTTGTGGCTAATACTGAAACACGTTGAAATGACCATAGCATCCATGTTGTTCTGTAGATTGGGTTTAAGTGTTGATTGTACTGGTTTAACAATAAATGACCCGATTAAGAGCTGTTTTGTTGTAGATGGCTATTTTTCACATAATTGAACTGAAATTACACTAGTTGATGGTATTAATAGTATATTCGGATAAATTTGACATATATTGGACATATGAGAGCCCAATAGTTATGGTGAAAATACAACAGTACTACTCTGGCCGTCATCACCGAACACAAACCCGTCTATGCTTTAAGCTGTGTCATTAAGCCCTGATTGGCAATGGGAATGAAGGACCTGGTTGATCTAGCACATATGACAACAGCAGTTCATCATACGGCAGTAGTAGTTGTCGGTAGGTTTAACAGTAGCAGTTCAAATTGGAAAATAATCTATGAAATTTGCATCACATATCAGTAGCACTAGCAGAGGAAATTCGCAACACGCACACACAACACAGGCAGTAGCAGAGCACACACCGATGAACCAGCCCAGACACGAACGACGCATAAACGTGCATGCTACACGGCGTTGAAATTGCAGAGGGTTGGGCCGGCGTCACTGGAGTCGAAGCACGGCGAGCCGGCAATGTGGTGAGTCGAAGAGGCCCGGGCGGCGGTGACGGAGTCGAAGAGGCTCGGGGCGAGCCGGCAGCGTTGGGAGGAGAGAGGAACTGGACGGAGGGGAAGCTCGTGATGAGGAGTTTCGGGGACGGGTCGATCCGTTCCACCGGCCGGTGGAGCGAAGGGGCTCCGGTCGTCGGAGATTCGCCACCGGCGCCGGCGGGGGACGAGAGGGAAACCTAGGTGAATGTTCTCTGTCGAGACATATGTGAGGAGGATGAGAACGAACCGTTCAGTGGCAGTTTGGGTTATGTAAATGGTGGAAGGGTAAACTTATCTTTTGTGTATTTGAAAACGGCTCCTACTGCGAAAAGCCCGAAATGGCAGCTGTGGTTTTTGGACCTAAATTTTTGAGCGCCCCAACCCAGGGCTCGTTGGAGCCGGCTCGAAAAATGGATGTTGTTTGGGCTCAAGCTTTTTCGGGCCAGAAGCCACTAAAAAAAGCTCAAACAAACACACCCTTACCGGAACGAATGAATAAGATGGAGAGAGAGAACACTTTTTCTAATGAAGTGAGAGAGAGAACCTGCAAGTGTGCATGCAGGTGAGAGAAGGAGAGAGTGTCAGGAGAGAGAGCTGGGAGAAGGCGTGAGAGGAGAGAGAGAGATTGTGCATGCATGCATGTGCACTCCTCAAATGGAACAGGCAACAGTTCAATTCCAACGAGGTCATGCTCCTTTTTAACTTTCACATACAAAGTACTCCTTCCCCTAGAGTCTCTGCAAATTTTCAAGTACCAATCATGCAATCTTCGCATCATCGTTGATAGAGATCTTTCATCTTTGACGAGAGGCTTCCCGTACTCGTATCTTTGTATCTGCACCTCCATGAAATCATAGTGTACATCGTCGGGCAGGTAATCGCCAAGATTGCTATAACCGGGCACCATCCTCGGATCATTAGCGACGTTGTCGCTAGGCACCTTGAGCGGGGGGCACGATTGCTTCGCTTGTTCGCCGAGGTGGGCAATTTGTTTCCCAGCTCGTCATTCTTTCAGTCTTTGATCACTGACAGTACTTCCCGACCGCTCCGCTTCGGCAAATTCCTTTCCAATAATGCACTCATAGTTTCCTTTCGGCGGAGACTTGGGTGGTTTTGTCAGGGCGGCCAGAGTGCGCTTCGCTTTCACCGGATTTACCTTCTCCTTCGGAGGTGGATGTTTCTTTGCTTTCACCCCTTCAAAGTAGTTCCTCACTTCTTCTCGTGCGATCTCGGCGTTCTCCTCCGGGGTCCTCTCGTATGGTAACTTCTGTGGAGTCTTCAGAGAAGGACCAAATCTGTATTTCCTCCCGCCTCTGGTTGTACTGCTAGACGCCGGCCGAGCAGACGGAGCGGTTGTCTTCTTTACTTGCTTACGAGGCGGAGGAGAAGGACTACGACGTGCCGGAGCAGCCGGAGCGGCGGCAGGTCTCTTCCGCCCTTGCTGACGAGGCGGAGAAGGAGGAGGCTGGCTGCTCGGGCGCGTCGGCGCAGACGGAGAAGGAGGCGGAGTGCCGCCACGCACTGGAGAAGGAGCCGGTCGAGTGCCCTGATCGTCACTCGCCGGAGGAGGAGGCGATGGAGGAGGCGGAGTGCCCTGACTCGCCGGAGGAGGAGGCGGTGGAGGAGGCGGAGTGCCCTGACTTGCCGGAGGAGGAGGAGGAGGCGGAGGCGTCCAGTTCGGAAGGTTGATGAGCTCCTTTCGCCATAGGCATGGAGTCTTCAGAGCAGACCCCAGCCTAGTCTCCCCTTCACCGGTAGGGTGGTCAAGCTGGAGGTCCTCAAATCCCTCCGTTATTTCATCCACCATCACCCTAGCATATCCTTCTGGAATCGGCGGGCAGTGAAAAGTTGCGCCGGGTTCAGTAGGATAAACAGAGCCAACAGCCGCATTGACCTTCAAATTCATCCATTGCGTCATAAGGTGGCAATTTTGAGACTCCGTGATAGCATCCGCGGGATAGCTGGCAGGAGCCGTCAAGGCATGCTCCGGCTGAAGCAGCTCGGTGGAAGCCACGCTGCTTCTCCGCTGAGATGGCGGGGTAGCTTCGGGGGAAGCTTCGGCAGTACGTTTGTTGCGATTTGCTTCTCGTTCCTCTATCGCTTGTACCCTTGCTTGCAGCGCCTGCATTTGGGTCTGCTGTACTTTTTTCCTCCTCTCATGGGATTTGTAACCGCCTGCGTCTGGAAACCCAACCTTCCATGAAATGGAGCCTGGCGTGCCTCGTGTCCGTCCAGGGTGCTCAGGATTCCCGAGGGCCATTGTGAGCTCGTCATTCTCTCTGTCTGGAAAGAACGTCCCTTGCTGCGCTGCTTCGATATACTGCTGAAGCTTCCTGACTGGTATGTCCATTTGATCGTTCGTCGAAATGCACTTCCCTGTTACAGGGTCCAAGGTTCCGCCAGCCCCGAAGAACCAAGTCCGGCAACGGTCTGGCCAGTTAATTGTCTCTGGTTCGATCCCTTTATCAACCAGATCATTCTCAGTCTTGGCCCACTTAGGCCGGGCTACGAGGTAGCCACCTGACCCCGTGCGATGGTGATGCTTCTTCTTCGCAGCATTTTGCTTGTTTGTCGCCGACATCTTCTTACTCTTTTCCGATGTCTTGTGGGATACAAATGCAGGCCCGTGATCTCTGATCTTCTCATATCTGCCCTTGAGTTCGGCTGTCTCATTATTTTTGACAAACTTATTCAGCTCTTTCTTCCACCTCCTGAATAGTTCTGCCATCCTCTTAAGAGCAAAAGACTTGATTAATTGCTCTTTAACTGGCTTCTCTGGATTATCCTCTGGCGGTAGGGTGAAATTTGACTTCAGCTCAGTCCAAAGATCATTTTTCTGCATATCATTGACATAAGACACCTTAGGGTCTTCTGTAGCCGGCTTAAACCATTGTTGGATGCTGATCGGGATCTTGTCCCTAACCAAAACCCCGCACTGAGCAACAAGTGCGCTCTTTGTCCGGAGGGGTTCAATCGGTTGGCCGTCGGGCGCGATTGCTATGATCTCAAACTTTTCATCCGAGCTCAACTTTTTCTTCGGGCCTCGTCTCTTTACCGAAGTTGTGCTCGATCCAGAGGGCTAGAAAAAAGAACAAAGACTTAATTAATATGTGTACATACCAAAACAATGAATGCATCAATTAGCTAGTCAGCAGAAGCTTAACTAATATATATACCTGGCCGGACTCGGTTCGGTCACCGGAGACGTCATCACGGTCTCCTTCTTGCACCGGCATTGGGTCACCGGAGCCGTCCTCATGGTCTCCTTCT